GTGAAACCAGTCTCATAGACTTTCCTGCCTGGGCTGGCTTTGAACTGCAATCTTCAGATCTCAGACGCCTGAGTAGCTAGGATTATAGGTGTGAGCCACCAACATCGGGCTCTGAGTTAATTTTTTTTTTTTTTTGTTAGTCGTGGGGCTTGAACTCTGGGCCTGGGCACTGTCCCTGCAAAGGCGAGAGCTCTACCTGTTGAGTCACAGCGCCACTTCCGGTTTTCTAGTGGTTTATTGGAGATCAGAGTCTCATGGACTTTCCTGCCCGGGCTGGCTTTGAACCGAGATCCTCAAATCTCAGCCTCCTGAGTAGCTAGGATTACAGGTGTGAGCCACTGGTGCCCGGCTTCTGTGTTCTATTTTTTATAAGCTTCTGTGGTCATGACCTTTGTGAACCTCAGTGCTTACAGCGATGAGAGTGGGGCGACGGAGGATGCAAATGAGCTCCTGGGAAGCTCGAGGGAATCAAGAGGGAAGTAAATATTATGTGAAATAAGCCCGACCAACTTCGTTACTAAACCACACACAGCATTATTGATGAGCTTTGTTACTAAACCACACACAGCATTATTGATAAGCTGAGCTCTACAAAATCAGCCTTGAAAGATCAGCCCCTGTCGGCGCGGGGTGGCTCACGCCTGTAATCCTAGCTACTCAGGAGGCTGATATTTGAAGATTGCAGTTCAAAGCCAGCCCAGGCAGTAAAGTCCAGGAGACTCTTATCTCCAATAAACCACTCAGAAAACCAGAAGTGGCACTGTGGCTCAAGTGGTAAAGCACTAGCCTTGAGCTGAAGAGCTGAGGGACAGCGCCCAGGCCCAGAGTTCAAGGCCCACAACTGAAAGGGGGTGGGGGGATCAGCCCCTGCTGTGGGGTCTCCACAGGGGAATTTGCATATGGCCTCTCTCCTCTAGAACCTTCCTGTGGCCTCCTCTGGCCCAGGTGCCTTGATTTCCTCTGCTTGTCATCAACCTGGGTTTCCCCAAGTCCTGGGGGGATCAGAAGGTTCCAGAGCCCTGGGAGCCTGGAAGGCGGGCCTGGCAGATTAGGAACTGCTCTATTCAACATTCAAGAAGGGAGCATGTTGTTGGTGTGTGTGTGTGTGGGGGGGGGTGCCAGGGGGTTCACAGCAAAGTTCCAGGTCCTTAGCACACCCGCATCCTCCGCCCTACCCCTTCTGCAGAAGCCAGGCGGCCTGAGAGCTCCAGCTGGCTCTGGCCTGCGTGTGGATCCTGACTCAGTTCCTGTGTCAGTTGCCTCCCTTTGCCTCCGGGCTTCCACTTCCCAAGTCCAGGGCCCGGGCGTGCAGGAGGCGGCAGGCCCCGGCAGGGCCCGGCGCTACATCAGCTGCCTGAGTCAGCAGCCCCGAGCCGGGCTGCAGAGGAAGGGGGCTTTCCTCACCTCGCTCATCCCCTCCCCACCCTTATGATTCTCTGTCCGCCCTATGGACCCTGGGCCTAGGCTCCCTTTCTTCCTCAGCTGAGAGCAACAGGCTTTGAAGGGTTGTGATACAGAGAAAGCAGCAACCTATCAAAGGACAGGAGTCTGACGGCAGCAAGAGAGACTCTGGGTAGAGTCCAGAAAGAACTGCCAAGGAAAGTCCTGTCTGGAATATCTGAATTAAACAGGCGGCCAGAGATTATAGCACCTTCTTTATGAATAAGAGTCCAGTTACTCCGCGGAGAGGGCTCTCTATGCAGTCGCTTTTGGGGAGGGATACCAGGTGAGTTCAAGTGATTCAGTCTTGTCTTCCTCCAAGGCACTGTTATTTGGAGTATCCCAATGCTCCTAAACCAGTCCAGTCTAGGGTAGTGTGGAATTTATGGAAGGAGAATGGAATGAGGTCAGGGTGCAGGGGCACATTCCTGCTGTGCTCGAAGGTCTTGGGCAGGTCCCTTCCTGCACACGGGCCTCAGCTCCCGCCCTGGCATGGAGGCCCTCACCAGCTTTTTGTCAGTTGTGGGTCTTGAACTCTTGGCCTCGGCGCTGTCCCTGAGCTCTTCAGCTCAAGGTCTAGCATTCTACCACTTGAGCCACAGCGTCACTTCTGGTTTTCTGGTGGTTCATTGGAGATGAGTCTCACAGACCTTCCTGCCCAGGCTGACTTTGAACCATGATCTGCAGATCTCAGCCTCCTGAATAGCTAGGCTCACAGATGTAGGTAGCACATTTTCTAAGTTTAGAGCTCCTTCCTCCAGTTTCAAGGTGCTACAGAAGGGCTGGGATTTGGGGCAGAGATCTGGTCCCAATCCTCGATCTGCTGCTCTGCCAGCTTGGCCACCTTGAGCAGTCCTGAGTCTTCCTGGAACCTCAGCTCTCTTATCTGCACAAAGGCTGGCATCAGCGGCCCTCGTGGCTCACACCTGTAATCCTAGCTGCTTAGGAGGCTGAGATCTGAGAATTACAGTTCGAAGCCAGCCTGAGCAGAAAAGCTCCAAAGATTCTTAGCTAGCAAAAAGTCAGAAGTGGAGGTGTGGCTCAAGTGCCAGAGTACCAGCCCTGAGGAGTGAGAGTGCCAGGCTTGAGTTCGAGCGGCCCACGAGCTGACATAAAAATTAAAAGGAAAAAAAAAGGCTGACATCACCTCAGCTTAAGGTGAGAAAGGCCGGGACTTGGCAAGCCCTTGCTACAGGGTAGCAATCATTAGGGCTCAGCACTTAGGGTTGACGGCTGGGAGAGGGGTGGGAGCCTCAAACTGGAGTTAAATTCCGTCCTGGCCCAAGCTGGGCCTTTCCCAGCTCGGAGGTCAGCTGGCTTGGCAGCCTCCGTCAGGCGGGACGGACAGAGCAGAGGCTGCCCGCGGCGCTGCCCGCCTTCCTCCGGGCCCCGGCTCAGGGCAGCGCTGCCCGCTGCGGGGAAGCCGAGGTTCTTCTGCAGACCCCACTGGCCCCACACACAGACCCCCAAGGAAAAAGTGACACCAGACAACCAAAAAGGTGCGGCAAGAGGAGGAGCCTCTTTATTTTGATTAGAAAAGGTCAGGGGGGCGGACTCGCAGCCCCCAGGCCTGGGCTTCACTGCTTTTCCCAGGTGTGGCCCACGTTCCCTTAGGTCCTGGGGGGAACTCAGTACGGCACAGCCCTCAGAGCCCTCAGAGCCCGGGGCAAAGGATGCAGGCTCCCTCCCAGCACCGACCCCCTGGGCCGGGAGGGTGTGGGAAGAGCGGCCTGGCAAGCTGGTTGTGCTTGGAACAGTCGCCAGACTCGCTGAGCAGCGTCTCGGACACCTGAGCTGGCTCCTGCAGAAACCTGCTCAGCTTGACTATGGCTCTGCCTGATTTTTTTTTGGCGGGGGGAACGGGCTAGGGGGACAGTAAGGCAAGATTCCTGAAGAGTCTTGACACCTCACAAGTCCGGGGAGGGGGAGGCCAGGAGGAGAGTTTCAGCATAGTATTACAGCATGGTGCTAAGGGCTGCGTGTATGGCTTTCTAGGCTCTGGCCAGCATGGAGTAGGGGTGAGGGCAAAGAAGCCAGCCCCCCCCCCTCCATGGGGGCCCTAGAGAGCACACAGGCGGGAGGGGCTGGGGGGCAGACCCTGTAGGCACAGATGGTGGCAGACGGGCCGCGGGTTAGGCCTGGAGAGGCGCTGGGGGCCTGGTTCCCCTCATGCCACCCCTGGAGAGGCAGCGCGCAGCCATCCTCAGGACGTCCTTAAGCCCCCGCGCACGCTGGAGATCCCGGGCAGCCGCAGAGGAGGAGAAGAGAGAGGGTTAGCAGCACAGGAGGGGCCGCGAGACAGCGGCTGCCACAGCACCTGCCAGACCCCAGAGAAGGCCAGGACTCGGGCCCCAGGCAGCACAGCGAGAGAAGACAGGCAGGCGAGAAAGAAAGCTCCGCAGGGACAGAAAGCCAGCACACACAGGCAAGAGTGTTCGTGACCGAGGAGGCCCAGCACCCCAGGACACCAGCAGCACAGGCGAGGGCCTGTGAGGACAGGGGTAGCTCCCTCCCGCCTGGCCCTCCACCTTCTCTTCCACCAGCACAGCTGCTCTGCCCCGTTGCAGCCTGGCTCAGGACTAAGCCTTCTGCTTGGGGGCGGGGGGGGGGGGGCCCTGGGCCCCGTTATCACCAGCACACACCACACCACACACCAGACAGATGGAGGGGCTCCGTGGGGTTGGTGAGGCATGCGGTGACGATGGCAGTGCCGGCCCACAGGCGAGATAGCTCTTACCAGCTAACCCTCTGCCAAGAGGCCTGTTAGCTCCCCTCAGGCTGTGCAGGAGATGGCAAAGTCCTGACAGGTGTCCTCCTGGGGGAGATACCGGAGAGTGGCCAGCGTTACGAGCTGCTGGCCGGGCCGCCCGGGCAGGGCTGCGGCCTGGGGCCTCTGGCTCTGAAAGTGGAATCTATGTCTCCGGTGCCTGCAGGGCCATCACTGGGTCAGGGCGGAGAGGACAGGCGAAGGGAGTGGCTGGGCACCTCTATCTACGCTGCCTCCCAGCACACACAGTCCCGCTCGGCTAGGGGAGAGGGAGAGACACTGCTGGGCGGTCTGCCCTCTCTGTTTCCTCATCTGAAAAATATAAACCCAGGTTTGCCAGCTGGGGCCTCAAGCAAAGGAAAAAGCAAACAAAAACCAAACCAAAGCAAATCAATTCTTAAAAACAAAAGTTTTATTACAAGCAGGAACAAAGAATACTGGCTACGGAAAAGGCAAGTGGGATCCCCTTCTTTAGCCTGCTTCCTCTGGGTCTCCAGGGCCCTGAGGCTGGGGGAAGATGCTTCTCTCCAGCAAGGGCAAGGTGCACGCTTCCCCAGGCCCAGGGAGATTCTCTAGCTACCGAGAAACACTGCAGGAGCCAGCGGAGGAGGAACATCCTCTGAGCTTCTGGCCCACATCCGGCTCCTTCCTCCCGGGCTGGGGATGGAAGTCCCCAGCCTGCAGAAACTCCTTATCTGGCCGCAGGTCCCCAGGGCAGTGCTCTGGGGAGGGGGTGTGGCTTGCAGGATGTTGGCCGCGCCCCAGAGCCACCACCCCACCCATCACACCCAGGCTCAGCCGGTCTGGGCAGGCCCAGGCTGGAAGCTTCATCTAGGGGCTGGGTGGCAACAGGGTGGAGTGGCCAAGTCCCCAGCCGCTGTGCTGTCTAAAGTCCATGGAGGAAGGGAAAAGGAAGAGGACGGGGCTGAGCTCCTGTGGGAGCCCAGGCTCCCTTGTCCCTGTGGCGCAGGCTGCTTCTGAACCCAAGGAGGCTGGGGGGAGGGGACGGCCCAGGGGAAGTGGGAGCCAGTCACATCTGTACAAGGGCACACGTGAACACACGCACATGCACACACGGGCACACGGGCGTGCGCGCAGCACACACACACACACACACACACACACACACACACACACACACACACACAAAACCAGAAGGTCTCTTGTAAGAAACTTATTAAATCCAGCTAAGCCTTCTGATAACCCTGCACCTGGCACTACACAGATGACAACTGGCTGACTTCTTCCATTAAAAAAAAGGCTAAGTAGAAAAGAGGTCTATAAAATTGTGCAAAATGCCCAGCAGTGATTAACCCGTTTCAAGTATTGCCCGCGTGAGCAAGCCCTCCCATCCTCAGCATGGACTTGGGAGATGGGGCGGCAGTGGGGAGGGGGGTTACACCTTCCTCCCTACTTTGTGGCCCAGGACCCACAGGAGCTGAGATTCTGTGGCTGACTGGTCCAGCTTCCTGACTCAGCTCATCCCCCCACCCCTCAACTGGGACCCCAGCCCAGCCCTAATCCTATTGGCCAATTCCACACAACACCCCCCCCAACCCCAAACCACCAAAAGCCCAAGAAAGAACAATGATCATCACAAAGAAAGCACAGGGACCCCCAAACCAAAGCCTAGGTCTCGGCTCCTGGGGCCTGTGGTCCAGTGCTTGGCTGGAAGGCCTTAGCTCACTTCCCAGGGTCCCCTTGATGGCCTCCAGAGGTTCTGGCTCTCCTGTCACTGATCAGCTGGGGGACCCGAGGGCCCAGGGCTGAGGGAACCTGGGTTTGGGCAGCAGAGGGTACAGCCATGGGGCAGTTCAGGGAAAGCCACGCAGGGTGGGAAATAAATACGAACAGACTGGAGTCTTTGGCAGCTCTGCTTCCCTCAGATGGCAGGGGGAGGGTCCCAGCAGGTGAGTGTGGAGGGGGCACAGGCCAGCAGGTGGCAAGGACTGAGCTGCGATCAGGGATGGCCTCCTACCATGCTGGCATCCGGCTTGGCTCCGCAGACTGGCTCATCACCTCTGACGGGCGAGGGGAACACAGCGTCTGACTGCACAAACCCCCTCCGGTCGATCAGGCTTCCGAAACACAAGGACGAGACGTATGGGGGTAGTGCTTAATGCAAAACTCCAGGCCAGGGGCCGGTGGCAAACCCAGCTGGCTCCTGGCCAGGAGAGGACCTAGTTCTAGAAAAGCTGAGGGAAGGGAAGGGGCTCTCTATCTGGGGCTGAAGACCTTTGCTTCAGGAAAGTCTCTCCCTGTCTTTGGGGAAGGTAGCTTTTGTCAATCTAATTTATTCATGGTTAGTTCAAAATGACCCATGTGTCTGGCTGCCAAGAGCCAGGAAACAGGTAATCGGGGGAAGCAAGGATGGATAGGCATCTGGGAGACACTGGGATTTTTAATGCCGCCCCCCCCCCCCCCCCTGCTTGCAGAAGACAACTGTGTGGGATGCCCTGTCCCAGCAGTGTCCACAGAGACTTCATTCCCATTCTGAAGCGCTAGCACCCCCTGGTGTTGGAATGGTAGGAAGCTTCTAGAAGGGATCAACTACCAAAATTCTCTTCTGCCACGGGAGGTTGGACACCCCACACAGCGATGCCTGAAAGGCAGCGCTCAAGCGTAGCTACAACTGTCAGTGTACTCAGTCACAGTATCTAATTCTAATATTTCCTGCTTATTGTTTTCTACAACAAGCACATGTGATTAAAAATGACTGCCTTTCCACAGAATTTCTTTGCATGACAAATAATCATTACCAGGAGACTGTAGACAGAAGATGCTGGTAGGATTGGTAGAGCCCTGCTGAGGTGCAGGGGAAGGGGGAGGGGGACTTCCAGGATCTTCCACGCAGTGACCTAGGGAGGTCTTACCTTTTCCCCTGACTTACCTGGGAGGTAGGGGCCCGCAGAGCACAGCACAACAGTTGGTGATAATACTTTTATGGCTGTAGGGGTTGACAGAGGCCTCACCGCCCCTCTTGCTGGACCATGAGCCTTTGATCTGCAAACGTGACAAAACATTGAATTACTTTCTCTCATTTAATTAACTGTTTTGCTGGTACTAAGGTTTGAACTCAAGTCTTCTTGGCTTACTTGCTTGGATTAGCACTCTACACTTGAGCTACTCCTACAGCCTGGCGTGTGTGTGTGTGTGTGTGTGCGCGCGCGCGCGCGCGCGCGCGCACGCGCGTGCATGTGTATGTGTGTGTGGGCGCAGTCCCTGAGGTTTTTTGCTTAAGGCTAACACTGTCATTTGAGCCACAGTTCCACTTCTAGCTTTTTTGATGGTTATATGCAGATGAGAGTCTCACAGACTTTCCTGTCCAAGCTGGTTTCAAACTCCAATCCTCAGATCTCTGCCTCCTGAGTAGCTGGGATTACATGCATAAGTCACCAGTGCCCAGCATATATATACATATATGTAATACATGTAACATATATATATATATATATATATATATATATATATATATATATATATATATATATATATGTACAGATCACACCCAGGGCCCTGTGCATGCTAAGCACCACTAACATTCACAGTCCTCCCGCTTCCTGCACTGCTGGGCCAGAACCAGGGCCTCGGGAGCGGAAGGTAGGTGTGCTATCACTGAGCCACACCCCAAGCTGCCTTGCTTTTCTCTCTCTCTCCCCCTTTTTTTTTTTGGTTGGTTGTGGGACTTGAACTCTTGGCCTGGGCACTGTCCCTCAGCTCTTCAGCTGAAGGCGAGCACTCTACCACTTAAGCCACAGCACCACTTCTGGGTTTCTGGTGGTCTATTGGAGATAAGAGTCTCAGGGACTTTCCTGCCTGGGCTGGCTTTGAACTTTGATCCTCAAATCTCAGCCTGAGTAGCTAGGATTACAGGCGTGAGTCACCAGGACCTGGCTACTTTTTTCTTCTGGGAGGAGAGCTGAGAGGCTAGGGATGACTGGCCAGTTCTGAAATCCTTCTGGGTGACTGAAGGAAGAATGTGTCTACAACATGCAGTCACCAAGGATGTGGAGGACTGCTGCCGGTAGGGGGACTGACAGAGACTAGAAGGCTCCAAAACAGGACAGAAGACAGAACCAAAGAGCTATCTCCAAAGGAAAGCTTAGGGTGGGTTGGAGGCATGGCTCAGGTGGTAGAGTACCAGCCAAAGATGGAAAGCATCAGATGCTGAGTTCAAGTTTCAGTCTTGAACCAAAAGAAAGAAAGTTAGTTTGTGGGTGAACTGCCCCTCTCTGGCTGGCCAGGTAGGAAGGAGAGTATATTGAAAATGCAGGACTTGGACAGGGCTGGCTATGAAGTGTAACACTGCTGCTCACTTGGTTACGTGACCCTGGACAGATCACATGTCTAAATCTACTCCTCATTTGAAAAACAGGGATAACAATACTCATTCTCAGATAGCACAGACAGAGCATGAGACGAACAATTTCATGCTCCATCTTAGTTTTATGAGTCAGCAGTTGAAAGTGCTAAGCGGTAGAGTAGTCAAATCCCACCTAACTGTAACCCAGAAGTTTATATACTTGCTGGGCCTTACACCCTCTTTGCTTAAGCTCTGGAAATAGCCTGCACAATCAGCATCCAGGAAACCAACTCTCAGACACAATGGCTAATGTCATTTCTGCTCTTACCAATCCCTGTCATGTGTGCAGAGTTTTGTTTCCCCAAGTGAGAGGCTGAAGTTATGGATTTTTTTTGTGGGGGAGGAAAAAGGGGGATGGGTTGTGGGGCTTGAACCCAGGGTCTGGGCACTGTCCCTGATTGCTTTTTGCTCAAGGCTAGCACTCTACCACTTTGAACCACCATACTACTTCCCATTTTTCTGGTGGTTAATTGGAGTTAATAGCCCCACAGGGACTTTTCTGGCTGGGCTGGCTTCAAACTGAAGTTCTCAAATCTCAGCCTCCTGAGTAGGTAAGTTACAGGCATGAGCCACCAGTGCCAGGTATGGAGTGTAATTTTTTTTTTTTTGGTCGGTCGTGGGGCTTGAAATCTGGGCTTAGGCGCTGTCCCTGTGCTCTTCAGCTCAAGGCAAGCACTCTACCACTTGAGCCACAGCGCCACTTCCGGTTTTTGAGTGGTTTATTGGAGATAAGAGTCTCACGGACAGCCGGGCCGCGCTGGTGGCTCACGCCTGTAATCCTAGCTACTCAGGAGGCTGAGATCTGAGGATCGCGGTTCAAAGCCAGCCCGGGCAGGAGAGACCCTGAGACTCCTATCTCCAATAAACCACCAGAAAACCGGAAGTGGCGCTGTAGCTCAAGTGGTAGAGCGCTCGCCTTGAGCTGAAGAGCTGAGGGACAGCGCCCAGGCCCAGAGTTCAAGCCCCAGGACCGACAAAAAAAAAAAAAAAAAAAGAGTCTCATGGACTTTCCTGCCCGGCTGGCTTTGAACCACGATCCTCAGATCTCAGCCTCCTGAGTAGCTAGGATTACAGGCGTGAGCCACCGGCGCCTGGCATGGAATGTAATTTCTGTTGGATGATAGGGCTGGCTACAGTGGGTACTTGGTTGGTAGGGTGCTTCCTTGAGTCCCCTGTCCTGTCCTCTCAATAAAGACCCCTCTGGGAGTCCTGGTCACAGCTCTGCTGCCTACAGGTGTGGCATGTGAGCAGAGAGCATGACCATGACTTCTGGGCTAACCCTGCTCTGCTCCTTCTCAGCTGTGACTGTGGGTTCAACTCTCAGCCACCCAACAGAGAACTGAGAACACGCAGCCCTGCTCTTCTGCCTTAGGCTGGCCGAACGCTTGAGATGATGGGAATGGAAAGAACCAGAAGTGGCACTGGCTGGTATTGCCTCATTGTGGTTTTTTTTTTCCTTCTTTTTCTTCTAGTCCTGGGGCTTGAACTCAGGGCCTGGGTTCTGTCCCTGAGTTCTTTTGCTCAAGGCTAGCACTCCACCACTTGAGCCACAGTGCCACTTCCAGCCTTTTCTGTGTAGGTGGTACTGAAGAATTGAACCCAGGGCTGCATACATGCTAGGCAAGCACTCTATCACTAAGCCACATTCCCAGCCCAATTGTGGGGTTTTGATTTTTTTTTTTTTTGGGTCTGGTCATGGGGCCTGAACTCTGGGCCTGGGCGCTGTCCCTCAGCTCTTCAGCTCAAGGCTAGCGCTCTACCACTTGAGCCACAGCGCCACTTCCGGCTTTTTTTTTTTTTTTTGCTTATGTGGTGCTGAGGAATCGAACCCAGGGCCTCATGCATACAAGGCAAGCGCTCTACCACTGAGCCACCTTCCCAGTCCATAGTTTTGTTTTTTTTTGTTTTTGTTTTTGTCAGTCGTAGGGCTTGAACTCTGGGCCTGGGCGCTGTCCCTCAGCTCTTCAGCTCAAGGCTAGCGCTCTACCACTTGAGCCACAGCACCACTTCTGGCTTTTTTCTTTTTGCTTATGTGGTGCTGAGGAATCGAACCCAGGGCCTCAGGCATGCAAGACAAGCGCTCTACCACTGAGCCACCTTCCCAGCCCCAGTTGTGGGGTTTTGAGAAAAGCAACTCGGGGGTCTTGGGAGCCCATGCTGAGGGGCTGCAGCCTGTGGAGACCTTGGAAACCTGTGCTGGCGCTCCCAGGGCCAGGCCGAGCACACTGGTAGGTTCGGCTACCCTACACCCCCCACTGCCAGGGTTCCCCAGCAGGCCTCAGGTCCGGACCTCGCCTGGTCGCCCCACCTCAGCCCGCCTGGCCTTACTCACGTCTTCGTTAGTGGTCAGGTTAGAGGCGACGAGGTAAGTGTGAAACCCTGAGAGGCCCAGGATGGACCAGATGGAGAAGAAGCAGATCACCAACTCCAGCACGGTGACGCGGTCAAGGACACACAGCGCGAGTAGAGGGCAAGGACCCTGGGCGGAGCTCACCACATTCAGCTTTCTCATCCACCCTTCCCTGGGGACATCTCCCAGGACACTGACAACACGGGGGCACCTTCCTGTGGCCCAATCACCACTCATCAGTAGGATCGGCCCCCCAGGAGCAAGACAAGATCAGGCTGATGGGCAGCAGAAGGAAGCGAGGATTGCAACATCGCCTCAGACGAGGCACGGGGCAGGGCGTGCGAAATCCCGGGACATACTTCCCTCCAGACCCCCAAAGACAAGGACAGTGCGTCCTCAGAGTTCTTGGTCAGCTCTGCCTTACTCCATGAGGTCCCATTTAGGACTGGTTCCAGCCTGGGCATGAACAGAAGCAGCTGGTATAGTGTAGGTAGACACACATAGACCTGCCCTGTGAAGGAGCCGCAGTTCCCACCAGAGAGCCCACCGGTGGATAAAGGATATCTTGCTGGTGTCTCCTTCAGGGCAGAGAGGAAGTTGCTCCTCTGAGAGCCTGGGAAGGAAGAATCAGAAGACACAACTCAGAGGGGCAGGGAGCCCCACTCTCTGGTGTAAGTGGGCTTGCTGGCCAGCTTCTCCCCTACCCCCTGCCCTTCCTCAACTCACGCAGCGTCAGGTGGGTGACCACGCAGGCAAAAATGAAGGCCGTGAGGAAGGAGAGGGAGAGAATGAATGCGTAGAAGAAGCGGTAGTTGCGCCTCCCAACACAGTTGCCCACCCAGGGGCAGTGGTGATCAAACCGCTCTGGGAAGGGAAAGGAGGGGGCAGGTTAGCGCTGGTCTGGGCTGTGGCCAGCACAGGCGGCTAGCGGCCTGCTGCCATGGCTGGGCTCCCCCACCTACTCCCCCTCCACGCTGATCTCATCCCTTGGGACACACCCTGCTTCTGTCTATTGTGCTCGGGCCCACACACAGGCTGACATCCTCACCTCTCTCCCCACTCAACAGTACCTCCTTCTTCATACCTCAGCCTTAAAAAGGCTTAGGTCCCAGACTGGATGGGAGCGCCCAGTTAATTGCCCTGCTTCTCCCTGTTTGCAGTGCTCTGTCTGTGTCTCTGCATATTGATGATTGGATTGGCCAAGGTCCCCTGCTTGATTCTAGGCACGAGGTAGCTGCACAGCCTGTTGAATCCCTGGGTCCAACACCGTGCCTGCTACAAAACCCCATGAAAGTACTTGTCTGCCTACACGCCAGGAGCCAGGGCCGGTCCTCTAGCTAGGACTCAGGTTCAGGGAGGGCGTGTGCCGTTGCTATGTAAATCACAGCCAGGGCAGAGCTGAGTTCAACCAACCTAGGTGAGGAAAGTTCCTGTGAGAATGTGGGTCACAAGCCTATTGCTGGCCTCCTGCCAGGGAGAGTGTCCCTGCGGGAGGTGGGTGGGACAGACCCTCGGGGATGAGTGTCGCCCACTGAGTCACCCGCTGCGCTGCTGCCGTCCCGTCCTGGGTGTTCCCCGCTCTCTCGCTCAGGGCGTGCTGAGCTGGCATGATGAGGTCACTGCCCTGGGAACTGTGCACTGTCACCATGGCTCAGCTCACTGGGGGCCTTCCATAGCATCTCTTACGACACCCTCTCAAGGGACCACCCTGGGTCGCTAGCAAGCGGTGTGGCCTCTGGAGAGCAGAGTGAGGGGACCAACCCAGCACTGCTGTATGGATCAGGAACCAGCTTCTGGTCCCGGTTCTATCCTCCTGACTTGGCCAGCTCCAGACTCTCACCCCGCCCCCACGCTGGGAATCAGACCAAAGTCCACAGCACAGCTGGCCCTGGGTCACTGGATGGCAAACCATTCTTTTTTTTGTCAGTCACAGGGCTTGAACTCTGGGCCTGAGCACTGTTCCTCAGCTTTCAGCTCAAGCCAAACACTTGAGCCACACAGCACCACTTCCAGTTTTCTGAGTGGTTAACTGGAGATAAGAGTCTCATGGACTTTCCTGCCCAGGCTGGTTTTGAACCGTGATCCTCAGATCTCAGCCTCCTGAGTAGCTAGGATTACGGGCGTGAGCCACCGGAGCCCGGCTCTATTCTCTTTTCTAATTGCTCAGGTCTGTGCTGGGAACATGGGCCTGAGAAGTAGGCTGACAACAGAAGAGTTTGAAGCCTCTCTGTGTTCACTGTACACACTAGAGCTAGGGAAAGGGCTGGACCAAAGGACCAATCCAGGGCAGAGCCAAGATGCCATTTGCCCATTCTCAGTCAGGGCAAATGTGGGTGATCAGACATCTTGCCTGGCCTTGGCCATTTCACCCGCTGTCCATCCTGCCCCACACATGGTCTTCTGTCCCAAGGACTGTCTTTCGTGGATCCTCATGGCTCCCACTCACCTACACAGTTGTCACAGACACTGCAGTGGGAGGTCCGTGGCGGCCGGAACATCTTGCAGGTGAAGCAGTACTTGAGCTTCACCATCTGCCCGTTGATCAGCACCTCTCGTGTCCGAGGGGGTGGCCGGTATGTGGAACTGCCTGTATTGTCTGAGTGCGGGAAGAGGGGAAGGTGAGGGGTACCCATGGCAGCCCAGGAACAAGTGGAGGCATACATATCCCTGGCCCACTGTAGTGACAAATATTAAGAGCTACTTGGGGTTGGAGACGTGGCTTAGGTGGTAGAACGCCAGCCAGTGAGTAAAAGCATTAGATACCAAGTTCAAGACCCAGTCTTGGCAACAAACAAAGAGCTACTACCAGCTACTGAGGCCTTCTGTATGCCTGTTCTGTACTCTACTTCACACAGCCACTCGTACACCCCAAAGTCTACCCTTGGGCTTCGTAGGCCACAGAAGACCGAAGACCCAAAAGCAGTGGCTCCTTCCCACACACAAGTCTGGGTAACCCCAGCATGGGTGATGTCCCCAGCTTGGCCACTTGCCTCCAGTGATTCCTGAGAGCCTGCTAACATGCCAGCTCCTAGAGACAGGGCCAAAAAACCAGTGAAGCAAACAGAGCCCATTCTCACACTGCTAACCACCACATAGATTTCCGGTCATGTTTCTCCATAACCTTGACCAGGATGTGGAACTAAGCATCTGAGCATTTCCTCTTCAAAACAGGAAGCACGGTAAAGGGCAGGCAGTTTCAAGGCCAATGAACAGGCTGAAAACCTGCTTTTGTCATTGCTCTGTGTGTGTGTGTGTGTGTGTGTGAGAGAGAGAGAGAGAGAGAGAGAGAGAGAAATGAACTTCTCTGAACCTGCTTCTTCTCTCAAACAGGACTGGGTGCATCAAGGCAGGTGCTGTACTGCTCAGCTACACTGCCAGCCCTGGTAGTTCAAGTCCTCCACTGGTTTCAAATCTCCCTTCTCAGCTATCCCCCTACCCCTACCCCATTCTTCCCTCAAGTCTTCCTGCCCCTGCCCTCCCTAAACCCCCTTTCCTCCCTGTTCACCAGGACTGACTCAAACCCTACTTAGCCTCCAACAGCTCTGATGGCACCTCATTCACTTTAGGGTTGTACAGATCAGGCATATGAACAGATGTTTAGTAAGAACCTCTAGTGGCTGTCTGCAAGAGGGCGTAGGGTTGAATCCTGGTAGGGTTCATACCCACTCGCTACTTCAGGAACTCCCTTCACCTCTCTGAGCCTCAGAGGGGACAGCCGCAAGCTCACAGGCTCGTGGTGCCGGCTGAGTGTGATGTAAGGACGGCCTGGGGCACAGAGCTACACTCACAGGAGCCACTGACTTTGGCTCTGAACAAAACACTTCAAGAGAGCAGAGCTGGCTCTTCTAAAGCTGCTGGTGCTACTCCAAACCAAACACCACATCCTGTACCACTGCCCCTCGGTCCTAGCTCCTGCCACCTGCTCTCTGCTGACCGACAGGCATGGACACAGCTTTGGACCTAGCTATGGAATTTCCAACTAAACATTTACTGAACATTTGGGTCAAATTATGCTTAAAAACAAAAAAGCCAGGCACTGGTAGCTTATGCCTGTAATCCTAGCTACTCAGGAGGCTGAGATTTGAGAATCATGGCTCAAAACCAGCTCAGGCAGGAAAGTCTGTGACACTCTTTTTTTTTGTTTTTTTTTTTTGGGGGGTCCGGTCGTGGGGCCTGAACTCTGGGCCTGGGCGCTGTCCCTCAGCTCTTCAGCTCAAGGCTAGCACTCTACCACTTGAGCCACAGTGTGACACTCTTATCACCAATTAAACACCAAAAAGCTAGAAGCATCTGGGCACCGGTGGCTCATGCCTGTAATCCTAGCTACTCAAAAGGCTGAGATCTGAGGATCATGGTTCAAAGCCAGCCCAGGCAAGAAAGACTGTGAGACTCTTATCTCTAATAAACCACTAGAAAACCGGAAATGGCACTGTAGCTCCAGTGGTAGAGCACTCGCCTTGAGCTGAAGAGCTGAGGGACAGCGGCCAGGCCCAGAGTTCAGGCCCTACCACCGGACCCCCCCCCCCCCAAAAAAAAAAAAAAAAGAAAAGAAAAGAAAAAAAGCTCAAGGATAGCACCCAGGCTGTGACAAGCTCCACAATCAGTACAAAAACAAAATGTGGAACAAAATCAATTCATCTCACAGAGCTGCTGGTAGGAGTGTTAAGAATATACTAGGTTGGAAGATTGCGGGGAGGAAGAAGTTCGGGAGGTAGGGAGGGAAGGGGGGTAGGGGAAAAACAAAGGAGGAGGTAACAATGCTCGATAGGAAATGTATTCATTACCTTACTTATGTAACTGTAACCACTCTGTACAGTATTTTTACAATAAAAATATATATACAAAAAAAAAAGAATATACCAGGTGGGGGCTGGGAATGTGGCTGAATGGGAGAGTGCTTGCTAGCATGCATGAAGCCCAGGATTCCATTCCTCAGTACACATAAGTAAAGAAGCTGGAAGAAGCCCTGTGGCTCAAGTGGTAGAGTATGAGCCTTGAGGAAAAGAAACTTAGGGACAGTGCCCAGGTCCTGAGTTTTTAAGCCCCAGGACTGGCAAAAAAAAAAAAAAAAAAAAAGACACACCACGTGATTTTAGCCAAATGTCTTGCATCTAGTAAGAGCTGGTTGATTACTGCTAATCTGAAATGTTTGGGACTAAAAGTGCTTTGGATTTCAGATTTTTGTGTATAATTTTGGAATATTTACATACATATACATAATATGCCTCCAGGAGAGATTCTAAGGGTAAAGATGAAATTCACTCATATTTCTTATAGCACATAGTCTGAAACTCTTGGCCTGAACTCTGGGCCTGGGCACTGTCCCTCAGCTCTTCAGCTCAAGGCTAGTGTTCTACCACTTGAGCCACAGTGCCACTTCTGGCTTTTTCTGCTTATGTGGTGCTGAGGAATCGAACCCAGGGCCTCATGCATGCAAAGCAAGAGCTCTACCACTGAGCTACTTTCCCAACCCCGAAAATAATTTTATTTAATATTTTCAATGCATCTGAGTTTTGCCAACAAACTATCCTGTGAGGGTAAGTGTGGAATTTTTTTTGGATTGTGGGGGCTGGTGGAATGGCTCAAGTGGTAGAAAGCCTGCCTAGCAAGTGTGAAGACCTAAATCAATCTCCACCACAGCCACCAAAAAAAAAGTTTTGGATTTTACAATGGTTTAGACTGTAACTATGAGCTATTACGATTACTGATGTGCTCAATTATGAAGCCTTCAGATCTCAACAGTCTCCTCCCTGGGGGTAGGGAGCCACAGACCCTCTTCAGCACTGAGAGAAGTTACTGGAATCATCACTCCCAAGGGCTCTTGCCAGGCAGAGGGGAGCCCACTCCTTTCCCTCAAAGTGGGGAGCAGCGCCCAGCATGTTGCAGCTTCTTGCCATTTAGAACTGTGTGAAAGAAGAAGTGAAGTTCTACCAAGAGGCAGGAGAGGGGCTGGGAAGGTGGCTCAGTGGTAGAGCGCTTGCGCTGCATGCATGAGGCCCTGGATTCGATTCCTCAGCACCACATAAACAGAAAAGGAAGTGATGCTGTGGCTCAAGTGATAGAGCACTCACCTTGAGCTGGACAGCTGAGGGACAGTGCCCAGGCCCAGCGTTCAGGCCCCATGACCAAGAAAAACAACAACAATAACAACATCATCAAAAAAAAGAGGCAGGAGGGAGGGAGGGGTCAGGCCTGAACCAGGGGGGCCCTCAGATGCTAAGTGGGGGTCACTAGGGTCAAGGAGGATTTGTTGCAGAGCCAATCACCATGCCAGACTCACCCCAGAACACTCCCCTACCAGCCCTTCCCAGCAGTTACTACCAAAAGCAGCTTATTAGAACCTGGAACAATTCCACTAGTTATTTTTTTCTTTTTTATTAGTATAAATTATGTGCACTACACATGTGCAAATACATTTCAATCAACCTCACCTCCCCACCCGCCATTTCTGACCTGAGGCTTAAACCTCTTAAGCTTGTTATCATTTATTTTTTAATTTTTAGACAGGGGTGACTATGTAGTGGCCAGCCTCAAACTATATAAAGTGCAGGATGCTTTGGATCCTCATGCTGCCCTCTTAAGTATGTGCCGCTACACCCAGGTAAGCCTTGTATGTTAGTCTTCTTTATCTCTTTTACCTCCTTCCTTCCTTCCTCCTTCCCTTTTTTCTTGCCTTTTTTTTGGGGGGGGGGCAGAGGAGGAGGCCAGTTGTGGCCTGGGCACTGTCCCAGAGCCTCTCTGTGCTCAAGTCTAGTGATCAACCACTTGAACCACAGAGCTACTTTTGGTTTTGAGTAGTTAATTGGCGATAAGAACCTTACAGGAACTTTTTTGCCCAGGCTGGCTTTGAACTATGATCCTTAGATCTCAGCCATCTGAGTAGCTAGGATTATAGGTGTGAGCCACTGGTGCTCAGCTTCTTCCTTTTTTTTTAGGGGGGGGGGGGTTTACAGGGTTTGAATTCAGGACCTCAAGCTTGCTAGGCAGGCACTCTACCAACTGAACCACATCATTAACATCCCTAGTTCATTTGTTTGTTCATTCATTCTTTCTCTCTCTTTCTTTTTTTTCTCCCTTAGGTACCAGTACTGGGGCTTGAATTCAGGATGCTGTCCCTGAGCCTTTTTGCTCAAGGCTAGAGCTGTACCACTTGAACCACAGTTCCACTTTTGGCTTTTTTGGGGGGTTAACTGGATATGAGAGTCTCAGGGACTCTCCTGCCTGGGCTGGCTTTGAACTGTGATCTTCAGTTCTTAGCCTTATGAGTAGCTAGGATTATAGGCGTGAGCCACTGGCACCCAGCAGGCTTTTAAAATTTCAATGATGAAATACAATTTTGAAAGTATAATGAAATCCTGCCTTACCGGATCACAGAAAATGCTCTGTGTGGGGTCAGTGGCTGCGTAGGCACAGCCTGTAGACAAGAAGCAGAGTTCTTTGATGAGAATCTTCACCTCCCAAGGCATTCGTTTGTTCATTCCTTCACATGAGAGCCTACTGTGTACAAGACACTTTACAAGGCCTGGGTATGGCTGGTAATGGGCAAATACACAGACGAATCCAAGATATTTACCCTGGACCTGTCTGGTTTGTTTT